AGGACTGTTCGGTATACCGATATACCGAAAATATCGGTATTAAATCAATATCGGTATATCGATACCGGATATTCAACCATACCGATATACCGAAATTTCCGATATACCGGAATTTTTCGGTATACCGTGTTAAATTTACCAACTATATGGCGAAACCATAACCTTTATTTTACTACTGAATGGCAATTCAAAGAACTTTCTACTGCAATGATTTAGAATTTCCACTTCAGTGAGATTTTACACTGAGTACGTGTCGTTCGAAACATGTTCGAAACAGCTTCGAAATTATCGTTTTCCCTTTTAGAATTACTCAAAATTTCCTTAAAACTTCCATTAAAGAATTTTCCTTTATAATTATCAAAGGAAAACCGGTATACCGATAATATCGGTATAATTTTTTCGGTATACCGATACCGGAAATTTCTCATACCGAACATTCCTAGCTTAGACAAGGTCAGGTAACGACAAGGGCAGATAACTGCATGGGTATAATAAAAACATCATGGCATTCTTACGTATATCTCATCCTTTTTATATCTGACATGGAGATTATGTAGTATTCCAGCTTCGTGAAGATCTTCCAAATGTGCCATGTCTTCCACACCTTCCAAGCTGCTGTTGTGCATGACTGATGCATTCTCTCGAGACAGCGAGCTTTGATCCTTGGTGATACTCTAAAAGTAAAAATACTCACAGTAGGTCGTGGTCGTGCAAAGTGAGAATAAAGAGGTCCAGATTCGGAAACCGCTACCTCTCACTAGCTCAGTACACGCATCTGATTGGTTAATCGCAAATTTCAAACGCGTCTGATTGGTTAATGGGCCGTTAATGGCAGCGATCACTGTCGTCAAACCCCTCTAATAGGCAAATAGATAATATTGTTAGTATTCACATATTAATTTTCTCAACTTTGAATGGTTAATTTCCCTGCAAATAACTGGTGCAAATAATAACCGCTGCAGAAAAATGTGACTCGGCAATAACAGATGGCAGTTAAGGCTAACTACAGCCCGTGCCAAAATAAACCGATGAAAATAGCGTACTTTAGAATTAAATACTACTTTTATTTCATTATTGGGGTTCAAGCCCAATAGTGAAAACAGACACACTATGTGGTAACTTTGTTGATCTACATAATTTTCAATTTTTCCCCTCACGAAACAATTTATTTCTCAGGTTTCCGTTCGAATAATACACTATTACAAGTATTTTAGATTTAATCGATAAACAGCCATGCATATTTGCCAACTATATACGACTGCATTATTCTACACATCGAATTATACAGTACAGCAAATAAATTTGAGGACTACAAAAATGATCTTGCCTGCAAATTTTTAACTGTTGCTAGCGCTCTTCGGGTAAGGAAATACAGATCACAGGATAAAGTCTTAAGTGAAACTGAAATGCTCAGGGTTTTTTTTTCATTTTCTCGACTCTGTAAAAAGTCTGTTTATCACATATTAATCTATCACATATTATATTCAAAATTAATGCACCATAAAGTCAGGAACGGAGAGCAGCTGCCATTGTCTCCTCCCCCCAGAAATGTTCAACTTACAATTTTTATAATGTTATAATTAGTTATCCTTTGGTTATTTGGGTTCTTATATCAGTTATAGGTCCTACTGCCCCCCCACCCATACCCTACAGGAAAATCCTGCGTACGGCCGTACGTAAAGTCACTACTATTTTCAGATATTAGTTTCTCATGACATCAGTGTTTTTTCTGATGAGGCAGGTGGCCACTTCATGAATATTTAACAATTATTCGCCGAAGGCGAGGTGATTATCGGTGAATAAAAACCGAGACGAAGTCGAGGTTTTTATTCACGATAATCACCGAGCCTGAGGTGAATAATTGTTTTAGTATAATTTCACAGGTGATTATTTGGGAAAAAAATAAGAAATTACACATTTCTTCGTCATTTAATTGACAAAAAGGCTTTGGCCGCCATTTTGAAAATCGCTTAGGTGATTATCGCGTAATAATCACCTCAACGGCAACCAATCAGCGTGGAGAATTTTCAATAATCACCTATGTAATTATACTAAAATTCATTATTACTTGTCAAAGCATGACTCCAAACATAATCATGTACATATAAATTAGATATCTCAACGAGTACTAAAGTTGAAGATGATATCCAACGGGTGTCAGAAAAAAATGATTAATGTACTTCAAATAATTTCCTGTAAATGTTGAAGTACTAACCGTTATTCCATACACAATGTCTTACACCAGTACCTGTCCAATTACCTATTTTATACCAATGAATGTCGAGCTAAACACGCTCCTTGTACTGTTTGGTAGTTGGGACATTGACCCACCATCTCCCACTCCGTAGCAATGCCCCATTATGTTTAATATGCAGCCTATATCCAATAACTTTTAATATGTATCTTGTCCCTTTGCTCTACAATCTTTGACAATCGGATCTCCATTGGGGCAATCTAGTTTATACATGCACTCAGATGAATTATATGTACCATTTCTTGATACATTTATTCCACCCTCCCTCCCCCATGCATCCGTATCAATATTGGCGTCTTGCAACCAGACATCAGATCTTTGTGGGCCCAACTTTGAACTGGGGGCGCTATATGCCTTTCAAATTGTGTAAAATTACATAAACATAAGTCCAATAGTTTTTTGAAAAGATTGTAACTTCTGGCAAGTAAATCCTCTCTTGTATAGGAAATTAAGTGTAATAATTTTAAAACGAAGTAGCACTACTCTGGGAGCATCCTCGCACAATGCAATTGATGCACTCAATTCGCCACTTCATGGTGTCCTATACCTAGCAGGTTATATTATAGTCAAACATAACAAGAAATTCGCCCAAATTTCTACAGTCGAATATTGGATTACCGAAAAGTTATGCAATAGGACCAAAGGTGCCTCCTTTTAAAATACAGTATACCACAGTAACATGAGATAGAGGGATGTGACACGCAAGTACAGGGATGTGACACGCAAGAAACATGGATGTGACACGCAAGAATTTACACTTCAAACGACGAAAGCCGTAAGTATAAATTACGATAACCCTAATATTGCATGAAACAAAATTAATTAAAATCTCATAAAAGTATTAAATCACATAGATCTTGTATACAAGGGCTACAATTCAAGGTGGGACTACGATTATTTCAAATTGAATCCTAGAACTCTTCTCAACCATAAATCCGCTTGTCTTAACTTCGATCCTTAAACGGTATTAATTCTTTACGATAGGTAATAGACGAGAGGTTTTCCTTATATACAATCATTTAGTTTAACGAGTTCGTTTACAGCTGTGGTATAGCGTTGCCGTCCTATATACTTAAGCTCACTAATGATATATTTTACCCGAGATTATGGTTAATGATCTTTCTAGCATTGTACTCTTCAAGATATTAAAGACATCAAAACTAGTAACAAAATATTCCTTCGTAATTTGCCTATTATGCACGTTGAAATTTTACGGATTCAACAGTAAACAGTGAATTATAAAGTATAACGCAACGTTGTTTTTCTTTTCAATATCTGAGAATAAAGTATACAGCAGGTCGTATGAAACTTGCTTCAATCGCTGCCTGCAAAGCATGATAAATGGCCTGATTTCAGTTACTGCCTATTCTGCATTTTCAATATTTGCATTTAACTATTTTTATTTATTAACTATATACAGTATAAAAATACCGCGTAGTATTTAGGAAACAGCATAGCAGTATTTAGACGTCAAGATATTTGGTAACTTCGGTCATTCGGCGTCCAGTGCCTTATGAAGGTCGTAAACAGTATTCGTACTATTTCTCCCACCTAAATTCAGTTACTTTCCCCACGGATCATATCGCGAATCAAGTTATGAGTTCATAACACGAAATTTGGGCACACTCCTCGCCGTCTCGTGCAGACAACGGCTATGCATGGCTACCTCAAAAGGCGCAAGGGCAGGGAAGAAAGAAACAGACTAGATCAAATGAAAAACTCAACATTTGAAGTGCAATAGGTATAGTACTGTACATATCTGTTCTCATCATACTCATACAAATGTGGATGGTTAGGTGCAGACGTCGTCAGCGAATGGTCCAATCTCGTTCCCCGAGCCTGCGATCCTCGGGAAGGAATCGAAGGCTCTGGGATAATCCGTTACCGGAAGCCAAGAATCATGGCTAAGATTGAACTACGCATTCCATATCAATGGCCAATCAGATTCCTCCCTGAAACGGATTATCCCAGAGCCTTCGATTCCTTCCCGAGGATCGCAGGCTCGGGGAACGAGATTGCGAATGGTCAAGGACCTTATCGCACCGAACAAAGTGTTAGACGGTTATTAGAAAACCAAAATTTGATAATTATCACAGAAGAAAAACTTTGGCTTTGGCTTACGTTATTCTTTAAGCAGTGTACAAGCCCAGACGGCTACAAGGTAGCTAATGACACAAAAGCCTGCACCAGTCCTCTATATCTCCAGACTGTGAGCGGCTCCTATGATACTGACCTTGGTTACTATGTAACCTGGTTTAAAGTGCATATGAAAGATTTTTTATTTTCCTCTCTGAAAATTCTATTCGAAGTTATGCTTCCAAAAATTCAAAATTGCCGTAGGGACAAGATCCAGTTGCAAAACTATGCGAAGCCATCACAATTTGAAATTAGCAAATGGACCTGCAGATCCAGCTGCTAAGCTATGCCCTCTCCCATAATCTGGAGGAAGCAGATCCAGCTGCTAAGCTATCTCTCCAAAGTTCAAAAATGGCAAAGGGATAAGACCATTGCCGTGTTCGAAATTAGCAAAGAGACAAGACGCGGTTGCTAAGCTATGACTCCATGATTCAAAGGAGTCTTAAAAATTGGCACAGGAACAAGAAACAGTTGCTAAGCTATGCCTCAAATTAAAATTACCCCAGGAAGAGGGTCCACTTGCTAAGCTGTATCGCCATGTTTCAAATTAGCAAAGAAACAAGACCAAGTTGCTATACTACACCATAAAGGAATAAGGCAATGGACCGAAAAATGGCAATGCCATTCTTTTCCCCCCTAAATTAATTCTGACGCCATGTAAGAATAGTTTACAAAATATAAATATAATACCATCTAAGTTGTCTTTGAGAAATTAAATCTTAAGAATACCAGAGTTTCTGCTAGATTTAGCAAAGAAGACTGACAGACTAGACTCGTTTTGGTGGTTTTCCACATTTCAAAAGGCTATAATTTCGCTGCCATGGATTGTTTTCAATCTTATCTTGCACATTGCCTTAAATAACAGTCTCTGCTGAAAAATAGTTTACTAGCCTGGTAATGCATAAAATATAAAATAATGCAAAATTGTGGTGGCTGGTTTTTGAATCGGTCAATTGCCAGGTTCGAATTTAGCGAACAGACAAGGCCCAGTTAACAGGCAGTGGCCGGAAGGGTAGCTACAAAACAGTATTGACTAATTAAAAACATGTTGAGTTCTCTCTTAAAAATATTTTGAGGCATCGTTTCTTCAGGGCACTTGGAAGTGATGCCCAATCATTTGTTGCCCATTGGTTGTCCTCTTGCCTCATTCAGCACTTGGCTTAGGCACCCGTCTTGGTTTAGGCCGGCGAAAGGCGAATTTCGCCAGCGCTAAGAAGACATGTGACAGCCATTCGCCAGAGGTTGTGTGTAATTCGCCGGTACTTGCAGTCATGACAAGCTGAAATTTTTAGCCCAGTCTTGCACTCAGATAATATACCAAATACATAAAGCTTCCCTTTGCCCACCACTCAACTCACAGCGCCCTTGAAGCTTCGACCTCCCATTCTTTGCATACTCGCTACGCTCATCAATTAATAGCCGGGGCATCAGTAGAGCAAAACAGTATTGGCCATACCCAAATTATTATTATCCAGGACTTCAAACGGATACCTGAAGGGCTGGCTTAGGTAGCCTAGGCAACTGACTGAATTCTACAATTCCATCCACAAAATACTGTATCTAACTGAATTCTACAATTAACTAACAATTAATAATTAATTCATTACTAATTATTAATTAGTATACTATTATTAATTATTATTAATTATTATTATTTAATAATTCTACAATTCCATCAACTAAAACCCGATCATTAACCAATTATGTGCAGTTGCATTGTACCTCAATACGCCCTACTTTACTATTTTACTCTTTCTAACCCAAGCCGATTTTACTGGTGAAGAGGAGAGCGCTCAATAGGTTAATATATTACATCCGTTACCAAGCCCTGTTGCCCGCCCCCCACTGCGGTTTGGACTGGATTTTCGCTCCTATCTGCACGCATGATTTTCTTTGCATGTTGTACGTTGTTAATTACAGTATGTCCTGACATGTCTGCCCTCTCTAGTAAACTGTAAACCAAATTGTAAACATTCCACTTTATTGTAATTCATCGTCAAAGGATATGACATTCCTTATTGTAATTCATCGTCAAAGGATATGGCATTCCTTATTGTAATTCATCGTCAAAGGATATGGCGTTTCTTTCATTATAACAGCTGACCATGGTTACAGGAAATGAGAAACACAATATCTCAATTAGTTTGGCATTATGATGACAATACTACAGAATTACTTCTTATTAGAATTTGGCCCAAATTCTTATACCTGTTGTACCAACAGGAATTCCTATAGGATCCTATACGAATAGGAAATTATCCATAGCCGATATCCTGTCACACTGAAAAACTCACAAGAGACTATTGGAGGTAGAAACACTTATACATATATTGTTACGAAAGTATATCTAAATAGTATAAAAATAGTTCAGTTTGCACCCCAGGTAATTATAGATACTACAGTAGTTACGTCAAATGGAGAGATAATGAGCATTTTTGCTGTAAAACGCAGATAAAGTATATATCATTTCGGACTTGTGTAAAAGTGTCAATTATCTGTCCATTAGGCAAGATAAATAATTTGTCAATTTGTCAAAGGTGGACGATAACCTTGCATGGTGGGCTGTTGTGTTTACATAATTCAAAGTCCAAGGCTGGTTCTTCTCTGACATGAAAATGTGCATGCTTAGGGCCTTTCTGTCAATCATTCTTCGGTATATTTCGCGCGGTTGAGTAATGTCATTATTATTATTATTATATATTATTATTACGTCATCAAAATCTTGGTTCAATAAAATTGTAAGTAAATTTAGTTTAGTAGGTAAAGTAAGGTTCACATAGGTATAGTTTGAAGATTTTACAATGATATTTTGATAAGTATTTTAAGTTGTGAACATATTTTAATATTGATCGATTGAACAGCGAACCAACTCGACCAATGCGACAACGCCATAAATAAACAGAATTTGAGGGCTGGAACGAGCTACCAACGCCAACCCACACTTTTAAACCTCAACGTTGATTGGCTGGATACAAATCACACCACTTTAGTGCTGTGCGCCGGAGTTGCCGGAGCCGGAGTTCTGCCGGAGCTCCGGCGGTTTTTCCGACGCCGGAGCCGAATTTTGTATGCCGGAGCCCGGAGCCGGAGTTACGTATTCCCGGCTCCGGCAAAATGACAAGAAAACAATATGAAATGAGACAAATTCAAATCAAACGATTATTAGTTACTGCAAACTGCCAATTGCTGTTAATGAATTCATCATAGACTCAAACTGCCACAGCCCACAGGAACAGCGTCGAAAAGCTGTAATACGATCGCAACTTACAAACGTCATGCTTTCATGAAGCCATCTGACTTAGCGCTACATACTGTAGTCTGTGCATTCATGCCTTGTAGATAACGAAAAAGTACAAAACAAATAAATATCTACCTTTTGAAAATGGCAGAGTACTTTGTTTGCGTGCGAACAATTGCGCTGTGGAGTCTGAGAGTGTTAGCGTCATGCCTCGCGTCATGCCTCGTGTCAAAGATTTTTCGAGGCTGGTTTCCATATAGATATTTTCTGCGTGGTTAAGTCTTAAGTATTTTCACTGTTTTGTTTCCTGAATTATGTTATCTGATAATTAGGAAGCGCGAAAAGGGTTATTCATAATAATATTAATAAATGTTCTCTGATCGTAAAATATTTATTTAATATTTTATGATGTGGCCGGAGCCGGAGCTCAGAGCTGTAATTCGGCCGGAGCCGGAGCCGGAGATGAAAAACCGGAGTTTGCACAGCACTACACCACTTGCTACATCACGTGGACAAAGATCCCTCAACCGTTAGTATAAAAGGGCGTGCACAACCCAAATTCGGCAGTGGACTCAACGAAGTAAAAATTATGTATGAAAAGTTATAGAAAGCTCAAACGAAACAAGACAAGACAACGACAAAGAAAAAACGAACAGTGAACAAACGAAAGAGGCTGAAGAAAGAAGATCAATTAATGGCGTTTGTTATCCCAACCCATTAAGTTATGTTGCACCTAATGTGGCCCAGCTGCCACAGAACTTTTATTATTTTACTATGTCTAACACTAGGGGATCTTACTCATGAAGGGGAGAGCCCTTGTACATTTATTTGACCTACTATGTACAGTAACCAAGGAACAGTTGTGAAAAATGCAACTATTGGCCCTGTGGCAGTAATCAAACCTTCCGCCCTGCAATTCTGGTGCAGCGCTCAAACCAACTGAGCTACAGAGAGACAGTTGTCGAGCTCAAACCACAAGTTCATGTATAAATACTATTAAGGTGATGCCAAGGTACAGTATGGTGTGCCATGTATGGGAAGATATCAGGATTTGGGGCATCTGATTCGATATACCTAATTGTTGAAGGGATTTGTAGGTGGGAATTCCGGGACATTCAACAACTTTTTTTTCATTTTCCAGGGGAATTTGAAATACGGTACAGCAAAAGTAATTTTGGTAATAATTAAGCTGATAACCTTTATTTCAATAATTATCAAGTCTGCATACAGGTATTATAAGTAAAGTTTTCCAGGGTTTTTCATTTTTCATGAATCACTTTGAAATTACAAGACTTTGCAACGAGTTTCCGGGAGTAAAATGAAAGTCCAGGGTTTTCAGAGGGCATGCAAAACCAGAACTATTGTTAATTGTTATGCAACCCTGGAGTTAATTACTACGGCAGAATAGCCTTGCTCAATTCAATGGGTTAACACCTTCCATCCATTGGCCAGCTCCGTCCCCCTCCCCTAAGTGGCTAAGTACAGTATGTCCTGACAGATCCGTCCTCTCTAGTAGACTGTAAATTCGACAATTGAAATTGTAAACATTCCACTTTATTGCAAGTCATCATCAGAGGATATGGAGTTTACTTCATAATAATCAGGGTTTCAGATTGGATTTTCCCCCCCTGGAATCCATTGTGGATAATAACATTTCTTAACCGGGTACGGTATCCAAACTAGAAATCAGGTGTTCAAGTTTTCAAAATAAAACAATTGCTTTGGTGTACCAGAGTGAGTATAATATTTAGTCGCCATGAACTCAAAATTGAAATGTTCACTAAATGTTTCCTGATAGAGTTTGATGCTAACGACAACATTGACTACAATGTCCAAATTTTTGTACTTGTCTTGAATAATGTCTTGAAATGAAAAAGGCTTAGTTAGGCAAGACCCTCTTGGGTAATCCAAATTGGATAATTGTCAAAACTCAGGTATAATGAGGATAACAATAAATAATAATAATAATAGCATTTAATTATTTAACCCATTGAGTGGCAGCACTCTCTCCCTGACAAGTAAAATCGCCTGGCATTAGACAGAGTAAAATAATAAAGTAGGGTGCATCTGGACACATTGCCACTTGGAGGGTTAAACATGATGATAATATTACAGCATACGGTAGCTGATATGGTCGTGTGACTAATACTCTACATTATAACTAACTAATAATAAAATGTCGCTAATTTGACTAAAGTAATTTCACATAATTACATATGACAGGAATGCCATTACTAATTGACAGAACAGTGACACTAATATGATGACGTAAACTAATTTCTGGATCCAAACCTACAAACTACTTACTATGGCCCTTTTTTTATGCACATTGATGTAATAAATATATATCTACAGTATCTAATTCCAGACAAGATACTGTACATATCGGGCACTAAATTTTTTGAATACTACAGGAGTATAACCACATGATTCATAGGATACTGCAAATCTCAAACCCTAGCCAGGGCATTTTTTAACTATATAACTACTGGGGCATTTACCCCAGTAGGCCCTTTGTTTGCCCCAGTAGTGAAACAAGATTGTCAGATGAACTGGGCCCTTTTGATCATTAGTAAAAAGTCAACCTTATTGCTGAAAGCTGCATCTGCATGCTTTCTCATATCCTCTCACATTCTCGACATTCCATCTTATAAAAGTCAGAACAGTCAAGAGTGGTGCTAAACGGGTGGGTGGTGGATGGGAGTGGGGGTCGGAACCAGAGGATTTGATATAAAACAAATATTATGCAATAATATATTTAATATTACATAAAAATTTATTTAATATATTTTAATACATTTTGTATTGTTGTATATCTCATCTACAGTATATCCAGGGCCGTAGCGAAGGGGGGTATTGGGGGGGGGGGTTAACCCCCCAACTTTTTTAGAATTAACATATTCGGAAAATCAGGTTGGTCATTCGGAAAATTACGCCAGTAATAGTATAACAAAATTTTAGTTGTTTAAACAGAGAAAATACTATAAAATTGCATGTATTGTCAGCATCATAAACTGATTTACAAAATCACGGCATTTACATGGATAACATTTAACAAATCGTAGATCGGTAAATGTGTTTCGGTTTATTACTTCAGAGGCCCGTAGCAACAGGGGGCATTCCTCAATATATCTTTAAAATACTGACAATTGATTAATTTTAATCGGCTACATTACCCATGAAAAACCGCAAAGAATCGTATTACCCATATACGCCTTCGCCCATTTAGTTCTTCTAAATTGTAAGGCAAATTAATTGTAAATTTCGACGTGCTAAAACTCTGTTTTCTGACCATCAGAATTATGTCAAAACTTCCCCCAAAGTCCACAAAATGGCATTTCAGAGACTCTAAATTTAAAAATTTCCTCGGGCCTTCGGCCCTAGCCACCCCCTATAAAAAAGAACTTCCTACGGAACTGCACGCTTCTGTACGGAACTGCACGCTTCTGTAATGTCTGTGCGTAAAATATGAGTATTTTTGTTTGTAAATTGCGTTTTCATTTTCATTTTCTGGATAGCAAACACCTTCGTGGCTTTGTATACCATGAAATATTCGGAAATTGTTTTCGTCATTCGGACATTTTTGGCCTACACCCCCCCAACTATGCATGCTTAGCTACGGCCCTGAGTATATCTTCCCCCAGTCGTCAGGTAGTCAGCAAATTATCTAATCCCAGTTGGATAGGGAGGAAAGAAACTAAAATCATTGAGTGACACTGATTAAAAACTATTATGTATTACAAATTTTACCATTAAAACTTTGTTTTGAGCATAGTCAGCCGAAATGTATATTATTGTAAAAATATGTAATATACATTACTATACTGACCCTTGCGAGATTGGGCCGCTGTGTTTTGAGAAGCTGAGATTTTTTTAAATGTGTTTTCAGAATGCAGGAAATGCTATTTCAGAGACCCAAATTTTAAAAATTTCCTGGGGGGCATGCCCACAAATCCCCCAAGCTACCTCGTGCCTGCGGTACTCAGCTCACACCTACGGCGACCGCATACTATCCTGGGGGAGGATTTTTGGCAGTTTTGCCCCACCACTGAAAAATCCTTAATGAATCCTAGCTGATAATCACTGAAATTATCATGGTTACAGAAAATGAAAAGTACATTATCCATGCCATTATCTTACAAATAGTTAACGAGTCGGTTATTTTTCTTGGATTGACAAATTTTAATGTTTGCAGGACATTGGTATTTTAATCATTGCAGCTCAAACATTAGATATTTACCCAAGTTCTTTAATTGTGTACCCAACCACTCCCAATTTCAAAAATGTTTGACATTTAAAAATATGTAAAATTCCAGTGCCACTTTCAAGACTTTAAGAACTTCGTAATCTTTTTTCTTGTACTTATTTTGAAACTTTGAAAAGCTCAAGGAAAGCCCAGCAATAATTAGCTAGCCCAGCAATAATTAGCTAGCCCAGCAATAATTAGCTAGCCAATCGGAACGTTTGAAATTAACTTGCTACAATGCGCGGAAGTGAAATGCATACATTCAACGTGCTCATTATGAAAACAAAACGTGCAAATATAATTTCAAAACGTAAACACAAAAGATCTCCACCTGTTGAGGGCTCTTCCGACACGATCAGACAGATATCACTTTATTTCTTTTGTTTCAACACGCAAGAAATTATAGGGGCGGCCAAGGCAATTATATAGCACGATATGTCGCAAATATATAATGCATATAGGTCCCCGCTTTATTACTATAACATCGCACACTTTACTATCGAAATATAACACTTGTATGCTACAAACTATGACACTTAATAAACTATACACCCCTTGCCATATTCGGTTCGAAATGACACTTTGCCGTCTTGAACAGTCTCTACCACAGTAGGCAGCCATTCTTTGTTATCTAAAATCCAAACTCGATTGCCCTAGATCACCGAACAACGAAAGTAACAAAGCCATTTTATAATATGTTGGGGGGAAATATTCACAAATTTATGTATTGGAATTGTTATGAAGCAAGCGATGCCGAATATTTCTACTGCCAGGAATAAATTTCATAAGAAATTATATAATTGAATGTAAACTATATGTAATAAATCATACCACTTCGAAGAACGATTCCATGGCCGTTTACAACGGCAAACAGTCCAAAAATTGCCAATATATTTCACCCGCTCTTGACAAACGATTTTGATCCACGGAGCTTCCCAAATCATACTACCTACAGGAAATGCATCAGACTTCCGGTCTCGCGATTTCCCGGCTTCGCATTCCAGGTTGGTCAACCAGATCAGATGACGTCAGCGCAAACGCTTTACTTCATGTAACGTGTGGCGAAATAATAAAAAGGAATTATATTAGGGAATTTATTTTATAGTACATGGTGCATCAATAAAGGTAATCCAACTTCAGCATGTAGACGTGCGTTAGATATGGAGTTTACCGATAAATAGTTTACACAGCAACAAAATTTATCAATCTGATACTCAGGGTTTTCACTTCCGCTACCCCTTCGGGACTTTTGTGACGTAATATTGTGTCATTATATAAGAGAAAATGGCCAAATACAAATCGAGTACAAATTAGTGGTGGAAATCGCGTTTTTCTGGCTAAAAATTCATGAAAGTTAATCTCATCAGAATCAAAAAATTCATATTTTTTCTGTTTTAGCTCATTGTTTGTCATGACACACGAGACGTACTATAGCCGTGTTTACACTACGAGCCTAAGCCTGGCCTGGGCCTACATTTGGACTAGATTTTTGTTAATTGTGTAAACGCACTTCGGTCTGGTCTAGGCCAGGACATCTGGGCCCATCAGAACAGGTGGCCTAGATTTCCTGGCCTAGGCCAACCCGAAGTGCGTTTACACTGAAAAAATCTAGTTCAAAGCTAGGCCTAGGCCAGGCTTAGGCTCGTAGTGTAAACACGGCTTATGAGAGATTAGACAGCGAACAGTCCCTCGATCAGGGCTCGGGAGAAAGGAGGAGCTTCCGACAACCATCAAGAAACGAAATACGCGTTGTCTGTGCACAACGCAAAGTTCCCATTGGTCGAAATCGATGTGCCTGTCAATCAAGTCTGATATGTAATAATTATGCCATAAATGATTTTCATACTGAATGTTGGATCGATTTAATTGGATATAAGTAATGTTTATGCAAAGACGGAACAACTTGACAAGAACGAAAAGTGGGCGTATTTCGAATTTTGATGTGTTGTCGGCAGTCCCTCCTTTCCTCTCGTACGCCCATGAAGCTATACCTGTGGAAAGGAGGGACCGCTCGCAGTCTAATGAGAGATAAATTCTTTTTCCTTTTGTCCTGCAAAAATGTGATTGGGGAAAATCTGATTTCAACCGTCAATTTTCAATCGGCTCGTATTTGGTCATTTTGCTTCAAATGGTAGAAAAAAGTGTTATTCGAAAGCTAAAATCCTAATCTTTTTTTAATCTAAGAATATTAGAACTGTGCAGTCAATATTTATATAGGACAAGAACATGACCCTCTAAAGCTAGATTACCTTTTATATACACACTGTGTCTCATAACATTCTCATATAACATTTACCCTAATAACCGGAATCCCGCCTGATCCTGAATACTTCGAATTCCAAGTCACGTAATTGTATGTACTGAAGGTAAGAAACCGGGTGTGTCAGGATATAACGAGATGAAAATGTATACTTCGGGGAGAATCGGAAGCACTTTTTCATTATGAATAATCAAATCATACATTACACACGCGGGGACCACACAAGCGCAGGGTGGGGTGCTGGGGGAGGAGGACTTCACAGCCCCCGATAATTTTCATCACACTGAGCGCAAATGCACATTCGCACCTGGTTTGGGAAATTGGTACACTAGTACTAATTATAATAAATACTAATAGTTGCGTACATGCTCAGCTGGGTATACTATCATTGCATGCAAGGTTAATTAGGATATATCTTACGTGAAAATTCCATTGGCTTGCCCAAAATTATCAATTTCGAATGGTGAAACATATATATTAGCTATGAAAGTGCTTTCGGCTTGCACATTGTCACAGTTTTAAGCGTACCTACGTGATTTCCAATGCCCCCATGCAGCTCCCCTAGGAAATCTGGCGAATTTACTTCATCTCAACACCAGCCCCCTCCCCCTTCTGGTCCATCACAACCCCGTTCTTTGTAAATTGTGGGTTTTTCACGTAGAGGCATGTCAACATGAAGGCTGTGGCTTTTTTATGGTAAATGTAACTTAAACAAGTCACTTGTTCCTACATACTTCCTACGACAAAGTTGTTCTATTGTGTTTAAAGCAAGTAGCAAACGGATCGAAAGAAAAGGGTATACAGGGTGTATACAAAACTGTATAGTTCGAAAATATTCACTAAACTGCAAGTGGTGCAAAATTTGTGCTAATTTTCTGCAAGCATGGCTAGTTATTTGGGGTCTGCTTGCATCTAATTTACCACTAAACTTATTTCGAAAAGTAGATTTTCGATTGCAGGATGGTTGTTTTTAAAAGTCCAACAGGCGACTCACGAAACGTGGACTTTTTTGCCAAAGTAGCCTTCCAAGCATAATTTTTAAACTTTTTGTAAAGAGTACCGTATTTACTCGTTTGAGCGCCGCACTAAACAGTGTAAAAACTTTCCACCGTCAAAATGGGGACATTTAGTGACAAAAACATTTAAAACGTGTTTATTTTAATGTTAAAATTTCTTCTTATAATAACATAACACTAGACTGATTTCCTTCAAATTTGCACAAAAGACGCATGCAGGAAAACTGTAACTACGAAAATAATGACCCTACAAGGTCACTACATTTCACTACGCTACCGTTTAAGTGAATTTTCACTATTTCACTACGCCACGTGGTAAGTGAATTTTTGTACATTAATACCGGGTGGCCCAAAAAAAAGTATAACTGTTTGATTACATATAGCTCAAAGACCATAAGCAGTAGAACCCAAAATCGAGTTTCATTGCATCCAGCGATGTCTAACTTAAATTTTGGTATATTCGACAGGCATTTTCGTCCAAGATTGACTGAGATATGAGTGTTTAAACTTTTGTTAGCAAATTTGAAACGGTCACAAATTAGCTAAAAACGGCCTATTAAACTGATTTTAGCTAATTTGTGACCGTTTCAAAATTGTTAACAAAAGTTTAAACTCTTATATCTCAGTTAATCTTGGACGAATATGCCTGTCAAATATACCAAAATTTAAGTTAGATATCGCTGGATGCAATTAAACTCGATTTATGGTTCTACTGCTTATTGTTTCTGAGTTACAAGTAATCAAACAGTTGTACTTTTTTTTGCGCCACCCGGTATATTTATTATAGACCTAACCAGGAGCAGCCGTGAAAAGTGCCGCTATATGCCCGATGGCAGGAGTCGGACCTGCGATTCTGATGCAGCGCTCTGACCAACTGCGCACCCGTTTTGCCAATATATTAATGAAACGCGCTGAATCAAACCTTTCGAAACGCAATCCCCAATTACAATTCAGCGTGAGCAAACGTGCCCCCCGTCGACGCCTACGATAAATGGCCGGTGCTTGCGAGAAAAATGATGTTCATTTTTGCCTAAAAATCAAGTTTTATTCGCGAGGAAATGATTTTTAATGATTTTCTAAAATATTTCAATATTTCCCCATAATCACTGAAAAAGGGCACCTTGCCCCCCTTTAGGAAAGGGCAGGGGGCATCGCTCCTGAGACTCCTAGGTAATATGGTGTGTGGCATGTTTGCCGAGTCGTGTCTTAAGGCATCTCTCATTTTACCAATGTAGTAGTTCCTTCAATCAATGCAGACACTGCCTACCTACACTGAGAACTGATATCAAATTTGGATTGTCTTGTTTTGAAGATTTTGCTTAAAATATTACAGCGATGTGAAAATGTGATTCAGGGCCTGTTTACATGGAGGTAGGGTGTCCCTATCAGGAGGGTTACCCTCGCAAGGGCCTAGCAAGCGGGTCAGAAAATAGCGAGCGTTTACATGAGGTAGGGTGACCCTACTGCTAGGGCTATGTTGCCGGATAGGGTAACCCTACCTATGCGTGGTCGCTAAGCGGTCTGTATTAGATAAATGGCGCCGAAACGCAAAGTTTTAGCGGCAAGTTGTGTAATGCTATTTATTGGGCCTTTGCTTGCTGCATTTCTATGTTGTGGTCTGTTATTTCCGAGGTTATTTCAATATCGTGGTCTGTTATTTCAATGTTGTGGTCTATTACTCGCATTGCGTAAATAAGCGTAATGTATTCCTTGATATAGTCCAACACAACAGTTTTTCGACATGTTCGGCTGACCAAGAGCATCTATATTTTGTTTTTTTGACGTCGATGAGGATGCGCCGGAATTTTGCTTCCTTTTCGCCGTCTTTGACAATTTGTTATCGAAACTACATCATTCGCAGCGTTCTCGTCCAAAGTCAAAGCTTCGTTCTATGCCTCTGCTTCCTTATTTGTAAATTGCTTATCCTTTTTACTTTCTGGTGTCGTTTAAAATACTCGCCAGGCTGATATGTTCATATGTATAATCTAGCGACGCCATATCCTTGTTTGTCTGTCACAGTAGGATGTATAAAACATGACCCGCTTGCTAGGGGTAACCCTACCTGACGCGTTTACATGGCTTATGTAAACAAAAAGATAGCCCTGCTGCTAGGGTCACCCTATCTGTTTGATAGGGTAACCCTACCCCTAGGGTAACCCTAGCGCGCATGTAAACGCTTCCTATAAAACATATTGAAGTAGGGTAACCCGCTTGCAGGGGCGGAGCGAAGACTATCCTTTTCGGGGGGTGCGAGACAACTTTTTGCCGACAAAAGGGCGTGGCATTTTTAACTGATGTACAACGATGAAATCCGAGTAGTAAGATAATCTATTTCTAAAATAGGCGAAATAGTTCCTTAAAATACATGGTATAAATTTCAAAAAAGCACATCCAATCGTCATCAAACGACCAATTACAAACTAAACACGTCAGTTTCTCTCTCTTCCGTTTGCGTTTTTGCTTGCTACTGTCCATACTTTTAAATCATCTTCGTATTTCTCATTGTATATACGACCGTTAGGTGTAATTTCTAAGACTTTTACTGGCTTTACAAAATGATGGAATGAAGCGCAGACGCATCAACAGTCAACACGCACATGTGCTTCGTGTATCCTATGGTATCATATTTCACAAAATTGCAAGAAAATATAATACTATTAAATAGCGTATTAGCGTAATAAGTTCTTGGCCAATTTGGCTGAATGTTCGGAAAAGGGCCGAGCTTTCAGTCAACTTATCCATCTTTGCGATCTCGCATTTTCTACAAATTTTCTACAAACAATCTCTCTCCAATCAGGTATTGCCTGTTGGCTTGATCCAATTCATTTTGCCGACAACTGATTTATTGTGCCGACGGACACGGCATTGGGGGGGGGGGGGGGGGGGGGCCCCCCCCCCCCCCCCC